TATCACGTTGGACACAGTAGCAGACATACTTTTTAGTCGTGGATCGTCGACTCTGGACTGAAAATAATTACGAATGTTGTAATTCTTAATTGAAATCATTGTTTCTTCTTTATATGAAAACTCCATTCTGATATATAACTCACCATCATTGACTGATGAGTTAAATCCGTAGTCACCAAAATTAGGTATATCCGTAAATTCTGGCCCGTACATTGCACCATAGTCAGCTTCATACATGTGTGCTGGAGGTTCTGTGTGTATCATATTTGGGGAAACTTCATCTACATCATCATCATCGGAGTCCATATTGAACTACAGTGATTTTGGCTCAACGAATAGTCCAACCTCAGCACCATCCGCACCTAGCTCACGAAGAGGTTCTTCTGGTAGAGATGAGGATTCTTTAAGGTTAATAATGGAAGGCACGCCTCATAATGCGCGCCTTCGTGTATGTGTCAGATTTTCCCGCAAAGGCATGCTTCATGATATGTATCTTCCAACGTGGCGTCAGCTCGGATAGAGCCCCGCGAAGACGTACCTCATGATCTGCGTCTTTCCACCATAGGGCCAACTCGGACAGAACCCCGGGAAGGCATCAAGCCTAAACTGTCGTAATATCAAAGTTAAGGTCTGATGGGTCGTGTGGCCTTAGACGCTTTTTAACACTTCTGGGTCTTCTCTACGACTAAGTAAGTCTTACCCAAGCCTAGTGAGCATGCAAACTCACTAAGGTTGGAACTAAGCTCTCAAGACTTCTAGGATGCAGAAACTTTTAACACCAACGTGGCTACTCCAAGCCACCAAGGTTGGACTATTGTATGGAAGTGCAAACACAAGTATGACTACTTTTGGCCACCAAGATAGGCAACAACACAAAGAGAATAAAGAACAAAGAACAATGAAACTAGAGTAAATGCCTCAGAGCTCTATTACTCTTTAAAGAGAATGAATGGAATGGATAATTCTTCATGATCCACATTTTATCAGAAAGGGTGCTAATTAAGCAATATTTGGAGAAAGGGTGCATGACAGATAATATTTCGTTGTTAGGGTGATTTTTGGGTAAAAAATCCCTTGTTAAGAATAATAACAGAAAATGGTAAATTACAATGTTCTTCACTGAACTATACTCTCTATCATATTTTTCTCACTTAGTTTTCAATTTTTCTATTTTGCTTATTGAACTTACAGATTGAATCATTTTGCTCACTCCCTCATTTTCTCTCTAATGGTTGGATGATATGACATTTTTATTATTATTTTTAATATAAAATAATTGAGAAAATAACAAAAAATAAGGTGGTCGGATGTCGCTATTGGCCACCGTCGATCGTCGTAGATGGTGGTCGTTTGGTCCCAATTCCATGGGTCGCTTTGCCTCGACATCGTGATTTCAAATAAGTCTTCTATTTTGTCAGAAGTTGCTCCAAAGTCCATGACTTTGAGATTGAAAATGAGGAAGCCGAAACATTTCAGTCAAGATTCATGAGTTTTGGGACATTTTCCAATGAAACAATCACCATATTCAAACTCAAGGGGTCGAGATGAATCAGTCCATGAAATTTGGGACCAAACGGCCACCAACAACGATGGTGGATGGAGGCCGGAATGAAAATGACACGGTGGCCAACGAAGAGAAAATGAAGAAGAAAAGGAAAAATGATATGTTACACAAGTCCTCACTAAACTTTACTCCTTCTCCTATTTTACTCACTGAACTTCCAATATAAGATTTGAAACTACGTCGTTTTTCTGTATATTTGAGTTTTTCAAAACGAAGTCGTTTTGATGCTTGTGTCACGTCATAACACGGTTAAATAGTTAACGATAGAGTGAGCAAAATGATTCAATTTGTAAAGTTCAGGGAGCAAAATAGAAAAATTGAAAGTTAGGTGAGGAAAATAAGAGAGAGTATAGTTTAATGAGGAATGATGTAATTTACCCAGAAAGAAAGGTTTTGATGTAAAAACAAACATAAGGAGGAAGATAACATTCACTTCTCCAACTATTATTTTCTACCTCGTAAATCTTTGAGGTGATATATTAGTGAGGTTGGCCCATTTTTGTACCAACTTTTTTCATTCTTTCCTTTCCTTCTTTTTTCTCTTCTAAATATGTTCCTAACAATTTTGAATAACATATTAATATTTATATAAATTAAAAACAATCGTAATTTTCATTGCTGATAATAATGATCGGAAGAGATAAACAAGATTTCATAAAAGGATAAATTTCCTTTGTTATGAACGTCACCAGAAAAGACAAATAATAAATCTTAAAATGTGTTCTATTTTTATAAATAAAGACTGAATCTTTGATCTCACAATTAAGAGATGAAGCGAATGATCATTGTATAATATAATAAAAGTAAAGTTATATGTATGAAAACTTATAAAATTGTGTGGAAGAAACAGGGCAAATAAACCGGTCATGGACTTGGCTTAAAAATTAAGCACAATTTCATGCAATTTGAGTTTTATTTCAACTAATTATTTATTTTATTGATGGTGTCTACTTTTTTGGTCAGGTGGCACTTGTCTACACTAAAATCTGAATTTTATTCGGCTAGTTATTTATTTTATTGATGGTGTCTACTTAAAATTTAAGTTTTCTTCGATTAGTTATTTATTTTATATATAATACCCACACTGAAATTTTATTTGTACTTGTCCTATTTAAAATTTTATGTTATTAACATACGTGTATCCACCCTAAAAATATTTTCTCAATCCACCACTGAATATATTCATGTTTATGCCTTTCAACTTCTTATCGTTGATCTATCTTATCTAAATTCCAATCCATGTTTCTTTTGTGTGAGGTCTGAAATATGTCTTTGGTATTTTTTTTCCTTCAGATATTTTTTTCCTGCATGTCTTTGGTATTTATTTGTGTTGAGTATATTTGCATGAAGATGGGTAGATATATATTATTTAAATTGGGACGATTCTTTCAAGTTCGACGAGTAGCGATGAACACCACTAATAATAAGTACTGATAATTTAATTTATAAAACGTTAAAATTTTAAAGTACATAACGTATAATTATAAATTAGTTAAAAATTTAAAGGTAAATTATTTAAAATAAAAGATAAATTATACTAGTGACCACCTAACTATTTCCCCTTTTTATTTTGACCATCATTTTTTAAATTTTTTAATCATGTCACTCAAGCACTATTTAAATGTATTCAGTAAAACTACTTGCCGTTTATATTTAACGGAAAAGCTGATGTGGCAGTTAAAATATTTGATATAATTACACATTTAATCATTGTTACTTATATATTATATCAATTTGGTCATAATTTTAATAAATTAAAATAAATTTAACCCTCAAATATACCAAAGTAGTTAATTGGAGAGGAATCCGATTTAATGCCAGCGAGCACAATTTTTCTTTTCTCTTTATTAGCTTTTATTATTTCTAATAATAAAGTAAAGTAAACATGTCAATTTTTGTGATGAGACGTGCCAACGGTTCTTCATGTTCTTCGTTTTTTAGCTTAAAATATTATATTTTACATTGATACACGCAAGACAATTGGTGTGACAAATTTATGTTTTAAATTATATCTTTCAATGATTTTAGGAGTTTAAATTAGATGTTTTATTTTATTTTGTAATTATTTTTGGACTGTTTGTTTAAAAATATTTATTTTTATTACTCGGATATCTAAGTATTATAACTTTACTTTTAGCTAATTCGTTGCATTATAAGTAAAATCTAATTGTTTTGGACTAATTTTTAAGAGTTTAAATTTTGTTTTTACTTAATATGGATATATTTTTTAAATCAAAGCGTTTGATTTTTTTAATTTCTCAAAAATGAAATCAAATTATTTTGTAAGTTTTCTTTTCTTTTCTTTCTTGTTTGTTTTCCTATAAATTAAAAGAATAAGATAAATAAACACTATATTGGCACCATTTGATTTGAGGGTTAAGTTTATTTTAATTTATTAAAATTAAGAACAAATTGATAGAATATATAAGTAACATGGACCAAATGTGTAATAATATCAAATATTTTAATTGTCATATCAGCTTTTGCTTTAAATACTAATGAGAAGTGGCTTAATTGAATGTATTTCAAAAATGGTGATCAAAATAAAAGGAGGTAATAGTTAGGTAGTCATTGATATAACTTACCTTTTATTTTAAATAATTTACCTTTAAATTTTCAACTAATTATAATTAGACATTGAACCCTTTAGAATTTTAATTTTTATAAATTAAATTAATGATTCTCGTCGTTAGTGATGGTCATTAGAATTTTCTTTAAAATGACGCCTAGAATATACTATAATGGTTTAACTATATGTTTAGATTTTTTTAACATAATAATAAAACACACACATCGTAGACATAACTGCCCAACTTTAAGTATTCTAAGAAGAATTAAATTTTCTTTCACTACTAAAATCGTATGATAAATTCATAAGATAATAAGTTTTAGTATCACGTGAATAAGTACATAATAGGGAAAGGCAAGATCAAAGAGATATATTATATTAGGAATCTTACTTATGACCCCCTTAATCATTTAACCCGACATTCAGGATAAAATTCTCATTGAAGCGGAAAAGAACAAAAAAAGGGATGGAACTCTGAAGAAAAACAACTCGCGAGGAGCTCTGAAGAATCGATTCTAACTAAAAAAATGGTGATATCAGCTGAAGCAAAAGAACTGTTGACACAATCATAACATTTACTATAACTTTTTTGTTTGGAAGAGTTATCAAAAGAAGATAAAACTAGTAATTTTAGGAGGCAACTTATTCGTATGAGTTTCAAAATAAAATATAAAGCAATATTCATATAGAAAATCTTAGGTCAATACAATATTGGATCATTTCCATGCCATGTCGCGTTATCTAAATAAGGATATATAGGTGCGAGAACCTGAAGTCATTTTGAAGGGAGTTTTTGTCAATGAGCAATTTTACATTTGCTAAACGAACTTTTATTAAATGCTAATGCCAACAAAGAGGCTTACTAAATGAACTTGATGCCATGCATAGCAGCATAAGCATGGGAATTATTATAAGTTGGCAAAACCCCATCTATCAGTTGGGTTGCAGGATGCGTTTAGTCCTCCATTCTGGGAGTCCGATGAACAATTCAGTCTCCACGTCCAAGCTCGGACTGCATTCATCGCTTGCTACTTCATTTTCTCTCCGCTCCTTTGATCCTTCCCATGGCGTTATACCGCACTGAAAGAAGAAGAATGAAGAAGAAATGGTTTTTTTTTTTGTTTTCAGTTGTATCAAAGTAAGCATGCGAGGGCTAAGGGCTTACCTTTTCACAAAGCTTTGCATTTTCAGCAGCTAGGGCTTTCTCCTGAGGTTTTGGGGCAAAAAATTATTAAAAGCTTGTATATATACGCTATGTTATAAGACATTCAGAATAGGGGACACCGAGGCATACCTTTTCTTTCAATTGCTGGATCTTATCCTTGAAAACTTTGGTCTGAAAAGTAAACAAGGGTTAACGTGTTTAATGTTCATTTTTCTTGTAGGATGTTAGAGACAACACAATAGTAATAGCTCCCATCATCAACCTTTCTGGCTCTGACGCAGGTCAGGCTCTTTTGCAGCTGCTTTTCTAACTGTTGTAGTTCTTCAAGTGTGCATGAACCCAAACTCTCTCCCAGTAGCTTCCTGAGGCATTTTCAGACACCTCAATTTCAATATCTTTGTTCAGTCGTCTAAGGTATATCTAGAAATAAATAAGCAGGCAGCAGCATATATATACCGTTTTGAAGCTTCAAGAAGCTCTATTTTCTTCAGCATGTTTTCTGCTTCAATCTTCAGATGCTGCCATTTCACTCAACGTGAATGAGAAAAGCAAACGAAACCCCAATCAGTATGATACTTGACCGTGTCATAGCACATAAATACACTTTATAACCAATCCAAACCAGCATGTTCTATGGGCAATGTGGTTGCAATAAAGGGTAATGGCTAGCTAATGGATGTATATTCGAACAAGTGTTTAAGCACAGGCCGCAGGGTGAATCTGCTGGATCGAATTTATACATAGTGAGAGAATAAGACGTGCGTAGGATTCTACTTGGCGAAAAGATTAGGGTTTTCACATAAAGTGGTAATCTTTGGCTGAGTAATAAATATGTGGAGGGAAAGGCTAGAGAAAGCTTAACCTCCATGTTTTCTTCAGTTGGCTTGACTCGATTATCCTTCGTATGTTTCCTGTAACGTTCGATTGTCTCCTGCATGCTTTTTTTTCGGCAAGATGATTTTATTAATATAAACGAATAAGCATTACCCTAATTATATGTCTCATTAAAATCTTCCATAATCCTAAACGGAGGAAAAATAGTACATACAACCAATACAAAACAGTACAAACAACAGACAACATAATCAATCACCGATATTACGAAAATATGAAACAAAGGACAAGCTACCAACAACGAAAACCAATATCAAACGTTTCATTACTACAACAAAAAATCTTTAATTTCTTTCTGCTTACAGATTCATATGTATGCTCATAAAATGCAATAAAAAACAGACCAACAGCTTTAAAAAGCACGGTCATTGTACGTTTACTCTCCCAGCAATGTAAAAGAGCATACGGAGACGGTGATGACATTTAGCTTCCTTTGTAATTTTGTCTGCAAATAATTGTGTTACTGTGGGACAACAGTTGCATGTGCTTATCAAATAGGAATGGATATGTCCATTGCGAAGGGAGATTGTTTGGATATTACGACAGTCCATAATTAGCAGGATTAATATCATAAGATCAAAATGGTGCTGCATGATTTCAAACAGTGCTTACAGAAGACTAAGTTCAACCATAGAGTAACTTTTCATAGTGAGTGATGATGCTACTCCCCACATTGAAACATATTAACATAAAACAAATATATATCCAAAAGTAGCACAATCGTTACTTATTGCATCAAAAGCCAAAAATAAAGTCACCATTCTACTTTAGGAAAGGCTGAATCATCTCAAGTTAACAAATCTTTAGTCTAGCATGATTAAATTGAAATAGTGTCACTGTATTAGAGTTGTGTTTTTTTTTTCTGGGAGGGGGATTTGATGAAGCTATACAAGTTAGATTTTAACTGAGTCAACCGAATGTGCTGTTGTTTATTAATTAGTCTTTAGCTTAATAGTACAAATGGACAACTCTGATGCCAGCTTAATTAGTTTTTGGTCTAAGTAATTTAACTTTGATTCTTGGAAACTCCGTATGAAGAAACAACAATGGTGACAGGCATATTGAAGTGAGAAGCGTAAGTTACCTAGAGCTTGCATATTCATAGGGCTTGCCTCTGACAGAGAAGATTATGAGAGCAACCTCAACATCACAGAGAACCGAGAGCTCGAAAGCCTTCTTTAGCAGCCCATTTCGACGCTTAGAGAAAGTCACTTGCCTGCTTGTGGCGTTCTCTATGCGCCTCATTTGAGTCTTTCCCCTCACCATCTCACCTCCTTCAACCAAAACACATAGAAGCTATCAGCACTATAGTTAACTGCAAAAACACCAAGTAAATCCAGCCGAATAAAACCCAGAAAACCCTTTTTTGTTGTTCTCTTTCAAGGGTTTTAGAGGACAAAGCAGGTGAAAAGAGTGGTAAACAATAGAGATTTTCCTTTTTCTTTTTTGAAAATAACAAGTAAATTTTCTTTATCGAAAGTCGTATCGTCTTGTCAATTACAGACTGAACAAATACAGTCGAGACTATCGAAAATAAAAAAATAACAATGATAGTTTAGAGATAACCTATAAACAAAACTATTAAATATTAAAGTAACGACGTATATAAACTAGACGTACATAAACTAGACCTACCAACAGCTCTAAGCATCAAACACATAGGAGAAAAAACTTGAAGAATTACCAAAAAGACTAACGGACAAATCTCTCATTAAGAGTAATCTCATCCAACACATATATGCGATAACAAACTAACCGTCTTGTACAACCGAACAAAATAACTATACCACAGGAAAGCAACAACCATGTATTTAGAAAAAACTGATAATAAAATCAATAAAAAATCTATACCAAGAGTCCAAAAAATCTAATAGTCATGATACCGTTTACAGATAAAGGGCCAAAAATATTATTATAGTAAATATAATAAAATATAACTAAAAATGGTAGGACGGTGGTCGAACACCACCGCTGCCATGAACGCAATAAATTTGAAAATCGCCTAAGAGAATAGTAACTGTTGCAGAGAAAAATATAGAACTAAATCTTATATATTGGGTCTGGTCTTGATAGTGTTGGAAAAGTAAAAAATGTTGAGAAACTTTCGGTAGGAAAGTGGTGCATTTATTGCATAGAATATGCACTGAAAAAATAGTAAAAAATGAGCATGATTATGTTGATTTTTTATTAAGGGATAATTATACTTTAATCATTGCAGTTTAGGGTATTTTCAAAGCTTAGTCCTTAAGCTTCAACTATAAATATTATTGTGAGTTGTGAGTGTTTTGTAAAAACCTGTAAATTTTTCATCTTTAGTAATAGATCTGCAGCAATCCGAAGACGTAGACATAATTGGCTGAACTTCGTTATCAATTTCAGGTATTATTTTTCGCTTTTATTTCGCATTCTCACTAATCTGGTTATAGGGAAATTACTTATTTATTTCCCAACACTGGCATCAGAGCTTTTGGTGATTAATTTTGTCAGTTTTCTGCGAGCTTACTATTCACGTAAATAGTGAATAGTGAAAATTTGGTCGACGATACGAATTTATCGACGGAGGTGTAATACACGGTGGTTCGCAGAAATTATCAGAAACGATCCAAACGAAGCCAGATTCGAGTGAGAACATTGTCTATAGACGAAGAGAATATGAAAATTGAGAAGTTCGATGGTGCGGACTTTGGCTTTTGGAAGATGCAGATTGAAGATTTTATGTACCAGAAAAATCTATATCAACCTCTCTCAGGAAAGCAACCAGAGGGCATGAAGGATGAAGACTGGGCTCTTCTCGACAGACAAGCCCTCAAAGTTATCAGACTGACGTTATCTCGCAAGGTTGCTTTCAACATAGCAAAGGAAAAGACCACGACGGGTCTTATGGCGGCTCTCTCCAGTATGTATGAGAAGCCATCGGCCTCAAACAAAGTTCACTTGATGAGACGATTATTCAATTTGTGGATGACAGAAGAGGCATCAGTGGCTCAACACCTAAATGAACTTAACATAATCACAACCCAGTTGAGTTTCGTGTAAATTGAATTCGATGATGAAGTTCGAGTTTTAATTCTCTTATCATATCTACTAGACAGTTGAAATGCTACTGTTACAGCAGTCAGCAGCACATCGGAAACAGTAAATTGAAATTCGACGATGTTCGGGATCTGGTATTGAGTGAAGAAATTTGACGGAGAGAATCGGGTGAAGCATCAAGCTCCTCAGCCTTGCACACGGAGTCTAGAGGGAGAACTTCATAAAGAAATTCAAACCGTGGCAGATCGAAATCTAAAAAGGGAAAATCAAGAACATGAAAGAAAGATTTCAACTGTTATAATTGCGGCAAGAATAGTCACTTTAAAAGAGATTGTCGAGCACCGAAAATGGATACTACCGCAAAGGAATCTACCAACATGACAGATGAGACAGATGATGCCATGATTCTAAGCGTCAACAGTCCGATTGAATCATGAATCTTGGATTCAGGGACATCTTTCCACTCTACCCCATGCTAAGAAATCATGAAGAACTATGTCAGTGGTGATTTTGGGAAGGTTCATCTAGCTGATGATGAAACCTTGAAGATCGTTGGAAAATGAGACATCCGATTAAAGTTGCCAAACCAGACCACCTGGAAGCTGAAAGGAGTGAGACATATTCCTGGCCTTAAAAGAAATTTGATTTATGTAGGACAACTTGATGTAGAATGATATAATACAATCTTTTCAGGTTGTGAATGGAAGATTACCAAAGGAACACTTGTCATTGCTCGTGGTAAGAAGACTGATACTCTCTATGTAACCTCAAATTTAGAGAATATCATTGCAGTAGCAGATGCTGATGGAAAATCAAACCTATGACACCAAAGGTTTGGTCATATGAGCGAGAAAGGGATGAAGACACTTTTGTCAAAAGGGAAGCTGCCGGATCTAAAGAATATAGATGTCAGACTATGTGACAATTGCATCTTTGGCAAACAAAAGAAATTCAGTTTTGCAAAGATTGGCAAGACACCCAAGGCTGAAAAGTTAGGTTGGTTCATACTGATGTATGGGGATCATCTCCAGTTCCATCTCTTGCAGGCTCACTATATTATGTCACCTTCATGACACCGCAAGACACTCAATACTGGTCTGAAAGTCAAGCGGTTGAGGTCTGATAATGGAGAATAGTACATAAATAAGAGATTTAGAGATTTCTGCGCAAACAATGAGATCAAGATGGAGACAACAGTTCTCATGACACCACAGCAAAATGGTGTAGCAGAGTGCATGAACAGAACTCTGAATGAACGTGCCAAAAGTATGAGGATATATGACGGCTTGCCCAAATTTCTATGGGCTGAAGCTATCAACACTGCAGCTTACCTGATCTACAGTGGGCCCTCAGTTCCTTTGGATGGTGGAATACCAGAGGAAGTTTGGAGCAAGAAATAAATAAACATTTCACACTTAAGAGTGTTTGGTTGTATTTCTTATGTACACAGAAATTCTGCTGAAAGAAGTAAACTTGATGCCAAGTTCAACAAATGTGTCTTTGTTGGTTATGGTGGTGATGAGTTCAGTTACCGGTTTTGGGACTACGAAAATCAAAATATCATCAGAAGAAGAGATGTCATTTTCAATGAGAATGTGATGTACAAAGATAAGTCAACCATAGAATCAAGTAGCTCCAATATCGAAGCTGAAACAAAGGAATTTGCTGAGTTCAAGGAGATTTCTGGAAATGATGTTCAGATCAGACTGAAACAGTTCAAGAAGAACCAGGCACACCAGAACTAAGACGCTCCTCCAGAATTCCTAAACTAACTCAGCGTTATTCGCTTTCTTTGCACTACTTGTTACTGACTGACAATGGTGAACCAGAGTGCTATGATGAAGCAATACATGTAGAGGATTCGGTCAAGTGAGAGTCTTCCATGAAAGATGAGATGGACTCGCTTATGTCAAATCAGACGTAGGAATTAGCTGAATTACCACCAGGCAAGAAAGCGCTCATAACAAGTGGATTTACAAGATTAAAGAAGAGCACGATGGGAGCAAACACTACAAAGCAAGATTGGTTTTCAAAGGTTTTCAACAAAAAAAAGATATTGACTACAATGAAATTTTTTCTCCAGTCGTGAAACTGTCTACAATCAGACTGGTATTGAAAATTTTAGTTGCAGAAAATCTACATCTTAAGCAGTTAAATGTAAAGACAACTTTCCTTCATGTTGATTTGGAGGAAGAAATCTATATGAGGCAGACAAGAAAAACATGGTATGCAGGTTGAAGAAGAGCTTGTATAGTTTAAAACAAGCTCCTAGATAGTGGTACAAGAAGTTCGATAGTTTCATGAGTAGCAGTGGTTTTACCAGATGCCAAGCAGATCATTGTTGCTACATCAAGAAGTTCGACAACAACTTCATTATTTTATTGTTGTACGTTGATGACATGCTCGTTGCAGGCTCAGACATGCAAGAGATTATAAACTTGAAGCAAAAATTTTCGAAGCAGTTTGCAATGAAAGATCTGGGCGCTGCAAAGCAGATTCTTGGGATGAGGATTAAGAGAGACACAAAGTCGGGGACTTTGATGTTATATCAGCTGAGTACATCAACAAAGTACTCTCCAGGCTCAACATGCAAGATGTTAAACCAGTAAGTACACCTTTGTGTTCATTTTAGACTCTCCAAAGAACAGTCACCAAAGACAGATGAAGAACGTGCACACATGGTGAAGGTGTCGTATGCCTCAACAATTGAAGTCTGATATATGCCATGGTTTGTACTAGACCAGATATTGCTCATGCAGTGGAAGCTGTTAGTAGGTACATGAATAATCCGAGCAAGGTACACTGGGAAGCAGTCAAATGGATTCTCAGATATCTGAGGGGTACCACAAACAAAACACTTTATTTCAAAGGTGGAGATACGATACTGACAGGCTATGTAGATGCTGACTTAGCTGGAAATATTGACATCAGAAGATAGTTGCTCTCTCTACAACTGAAGCAGAATATGTCGCTGTTACGAAAGCCAGCAAGGAGATGGTTTGACTCCAAATAGTCTCGGAAGAATTAGGTAAGAAATAAGAAAGCAATGTTTTGTATTGCGATAGTCAAAGTGTTATCCATCTAGCGAAAAATCCGTCTTTTCATTCCAGAACGAAGCACATACAATTGTGATATCATTTTATCTGGTCTCTTCTGGAAGATGAGATTTTGAAACTTGAAAAGATTAGTGGAGCTCAAAATCTGACAGACATGTTAACAAAGACGGTGACTACGAACAAACTTCATTTGTGTTCAACTTCAGTTGGCATGCTAGAGTAACAAGACCAGAAATGCTGCTGTATTGATCGAGATGTGAAGACAGATTAAAATCAGTATTCAAGTAGAAGATTGTTGAAAAAGTAAAAAATGTTAGGAAACTTTCGGTGGGAAAGTGGTGCATTTATTGCACCGAATATGCACCGAAAAAATAGTCAAAAAAGAAGCATGATTATGTTGATTTTTTATTAAAGGATAGTTACACTTTAGTCCCTGCAGTTTATGATATTTTTAAAGTTTAGTCTTTAAGCTTCAACTATAAATACTCTAACTCATTTAACTTCAAAATCATCCTAAATCATTTTTTTCTCATAATACTAGAGAGCTTTCTTGTGAGTGTTTTGTAAACACCTGTAAATTTTTCCACTTTAGTAATAGACCTGCACCAATCCGGAGACGTAGATATAATTAACTGAACTCCATTATTAATTTCGGGTATTATTTTTCCGTTTTTATTTCATATTCTCACTAATCTGGTTATAGAAAAATTACTTATTTATTTCCCAATAGATAGAACAATTTATCGATTTTTTTAGTCGTATGCTGATACGAGGAAACCGAGTGATACTTTGGTGTAAACCGTACTGAAGATAAAAACCCAAAAGATTGTGGGAAAAAGAAACAAATCTCCCATAAGAGAAAACGAGAGGAAGAAAGGAGAAAACCTTACCGAACAAGCAAGAAGGAGCTCAGAACTCGTTGTATGTTCTGAAAGAAAGAAGAAGCAAATAAGAGCAAAATTTATAAAATTCAACGAACATTTAAAGCAATTTAAAGCATTTATTTTTATGATCCGATCACTTCAATCGTACAGCTTTTTCGAAGAAGTAAACGTGAGAAATGATGACATCCAAACACTTACATACCAAAGAAAAAAGAAAACCCAGTAAGCTAATAAATGAAAGAGAAAGCAAATCCAGGAAGGAAAAGAAAAGAAAAAACCAAAGACGAATACCTAAAACTGGAAAATTATTACTTTTTGATTGATATATTTCGACAGACCCATTTTTAGCAAGCAGCAAAGGAAGAAAAGGGTAAAGAAACCCCAAATCCAAAAATATCAACCTTTCCTTGTTCATCAATCTTCCTCGAACCCCCACCTGTATATCAACTTTCTAAGCAAAGAGGCATTCATTTGTTGTTTGTATATTAAAACAAAATATTTTTTCTGAAACCTTATATCTTGTTTTGGTAAAACTCATAATACAAACCCAGAGGCTAAAAAAGGGACATGAAAATGGAAAATTTTACTAAAAGAGCGTAAAGAAACAGTTTGAAGAGACAAACCCCAACCTGCTGGAAAAGTCTAAGGATTTAAATAAATAAAACAATAAAGATGCATACACACATACTTGTATAGGAAGAATTTCTCTCCCCATTAGTTGATTTTAAAAGGGAAAGAAAGCAAGCGGCTACCCTAAGTTCCAAGTTAAAAATGGGGAAACAAATGTGTAGAAAAAGGTCAATGTCGTCCGTACAACATCGTACACAGCCACCAATAAGGTTTCGAAAGCTCACCGAAAAGGTTACCATATTTTGTTTTTTGTTGACAACCTTAACCCCAAAAAAGGGTTTTTTTGTAAAAACGAACGACAGAGGAAGGACCACTCCCCCGGCCTTATTTTCTACTACATAAATTCGTGAGGTTGCCCTTCTTTTCTAGTGAGAAGGACATATATTTATTATATTACGATTAATCTTTAAAGAGATAAATCATTAATCTCAAAATGATATATATTTTTTATGAATAAAGATCAAATATTTAGCCTCATAATTTAAAAATGAAGTGAACAATCACCATAATATATCCAATGTTAATTCAAAGAAAATATTTGAAATATAATGATAAAGATAGTTATAGGTGTGAGAACTAGGGGTGTGCAAAATTACTCGACCCGGTTGACCCGACCTGTCGACCCGCAGACCCGGATCTAAAAAAATCGGTAATTCTCTAAAAAAAATACCCGGCGGGTCGGGTACCCGGCCCGACATTTTCCGGGTCGGGCCCGGGTCACAAAATCTAGTTTTTCTGGGTACCCGGTTACCCGAGTACCCGGTTAGTTTTTTTTTTTATTATATATATAATTATATAAAATATAATGAATTATTTATATTATTCATTATTATATTTTGTATTTTGAACTTTTAAATTTTATGTTCGGATATTAGAGTATGTAATTCGAAGTTTCGAACATTTAAATTTGTGTATATATATTTTTAAATTAATAATTTAAAAATTAAAAATTAAAAACCAGGTATCGGGTATCGATTACCGGGTACCCGCAAAATCCGGATACCCGATTACCGGGTACCCGTAACATCCGGGTCGGAACACGGGCCGAGAAATCGTCAACCCGAAAGTTCTGGGTACCCGAAAATCGGGTACCCGCAAACCCGGTACCCGAATTTGCACACCCCTAGTGAGAACTTATAAAATAGTGGAAGAAAGAAGGGAAACAGAGACTTGGCTTACAAACTAAGCACAATGTTCACGCAATCAATAATGCCGATTTCGACTTTGTGCCTTTCAACATCTTATCGTTAATCTATCCTGTCTAAACTCCAATTCATACACATTTTGCGTGAGGTATGAAATCGGGAATTTCCTATCTACGTAACGTAACTGCCTTCAAATCACGTTTCTAATAAGAAAAAGAGGAAAGTTGATAAAAATCAATAGATGGTGTGTGAGCAAAGTACATAGCCGCCGGCCGTAATAGTAGTCCCATGACCAAAATCCTTTCCCACCACAATCAGTTAACACGGCAAAAAAACACAGTACACGGATATCTTATCCATGGCACGTCCACTCATCAAACAATTTCCTCCAGCATCTTATCACGAGCTTTTGACAATTTTTTACGCAGTAATCTGGGTGAGAAAACTGCTATCAACAAAGGGTTCTTCCTCAGGAAATCATCTCTGCTCATTCTCCCGTCAGTGTCTGTATCGAATAGACCAAACAGTCCATGAACCTACAATTGGTGTGCATACACCAAGATTTCATCGAGTCTGAAATGAATACATTTCACAAACAATCCTATATAGTTTCTTTTCTTTACCTCGCCATCATTCGGGTCTGGAAATTTGCGTCTAAGAATATCTGCGAACTAAGCCAGAAGCAATCATAAACAAAAAGGCTAATTTAATCTTTTGATCATAAATGCACAAACTAAGGAAACGGAAAGAAAGAATGAACCGCATACTTCTTTCTTTGTACAGTAGTTATATCCATCCTCATCACATTCAGCAAAGGCTAGTTCACATGCCTGCCTGAAGGAAGAGAAGCTGGTTCAGAACATGAGCTGATCCAAATAAGAACTGTCAGGAGGACATAAAACTATATTGGTGAGCCATCTATGGAAGCAAAATTTGCTTAAGCTGCGTTTGGAAAACATGATCATTGCATTATCATTTTTCACCAATATGCTGCGATGAACGTGGTCAGGTGGCAATATGCTAAAGTGAGATGCTAACAAAGAAGACACGAGTGAACAGAATTAGAAAGTCCAACAGGAGGTATGGGTAGTTGAACTACCTGCTTAAATGTAATTGATCCATTCTTCTCCACATCAAGGAACCCAAAAATCTGTACTTGAGAAAAAAAATCAATACAAGATAATGAAGAAAAAACTCATGAGAACAAGAAAATATTACGTAGGATACATAAGTAAACCATATGCAAAAGTCAACGGACAGGGTAAGGACAAATAACCTCTTCCGAAAGTGTACAAGGCTTTAGTTGCAGAACCCTTAAAAAATCATGAAGTTTAACGCGGCCACTGCAAGAGATATTACTCAAAGCTTAAAAGAATACAACATAAAGAAACGAATAAATACCCTTCGGTGTGTATGAATTAGAGGTGGTGTGGTTCTACTAGTCAACTATTACTCTCGGTTGGCTCAGTAACAAGAAGTCAAGAATACTTCTCATCATGAATGATTTGGAAATACCTGGGTTCTGGGTTCATGGACAAACTCATTCAGAAAGTCCATGGCCTCCAAGCTGCTTATGTGGTATAGCTGCAAGATGAAAAAAATGGATTAATAAGCGAGGAGAATTGGAGATAGAAACACAGGAGTAAGCATCCTCATAGGAGGGGCAATAAAGACATGGTTATCAACTTCGAAATAAAATTGTATTTTCATGAGAAGAAAAAAGAGTACAAGTATGTTTCAACTTTGCGGAATTTCAATGCCTGACTCACCGATTCAATTTTGGCCATTTCAACCATATAGCTCCAGGGATTTTCCTGCCAAAGATATGTTAAAACAACTATTAGCACGGATTACAAAAGCAAACAGACTCAGATCTCAGCATAAATAATCAAACGCCAAAATGTTCATTACGAGATATTATTCCAGAAAGAATGGTGGTGCAACCAATAATTCAGAAAATGCACCGGGTGTTGGTTGATTTGTTAAGAATATACTTGCTCCTATATCAATACATCCATTGACAAGAACATAAATTGGACTCAAGTAGTGGTACTAAACTAAATGCACTATATTCTCCATTTTCACTTATCTATGCTATATGCCACCAATCTCCATTAAGTAGACAAAATATGGATGTAAACACCCTACACTTACTTCAACAGGTAGTATGCTTCCCCTAGAATACTATCAGTAAATATAGAAAACTATGGGAACATATTACTAAGAACCGGTTGGGTGGACAAATGGCAAATCGAGTCGCTCGAACTGTGCCAGGTGGAGTTTAAGTCTCGAGCGTTATTTAGCCACGAATCGTTTTTAGTGACAACAAATAACGTGGACACGGCGCCCTTCACTATCCGTCGTGGGGGCAAATATCTTTGTATCAGCTTCATTGTCGTACTGCGTAGAAAGAGGCTACTCCGTGTCCCGTTTTGAAGCACAGGTTCATGTTTTGTCATAATTTGGGATGAAATGACACGCAACTCGTGATTCATCGCCCGGTCGCTGTCGGTCTTTGTTGCCGACCAATCATCCTAACATGACCTGATTTAATTTGACGTTCCAACAACTTGATGATGCTTAGTGGGCTGCCATTATCTACTTTTGGCATAGAAATCCACGTACATTTTTGCCCAACAAGCCGAACAAGTAAATTATTTTTAATAAAAAGTAAGTAGAAATTTATTTTAAAATCTACGGTAATTTTTATAGTGTTATAAATTCGTCATTTGAAGTGACGAGTTTTAATAAAATATTATTTTTAATTAAAATTGATTACATCGAAGTAAAAAGTTTAAATAAAAAATATTTTTTATTAGAATAAATCACTATGCACTGTAAAAAAATATAGTAGATTCAAAATAAAAGTGTTTGTGTCCTAATTTATAAATTTTTTGGGCCGTCTTGCTGGGCCAAAAATGCCTAGAAACCCATAGCCTTAGGCCCTCATCATCGTTTTCAGCAACGTTTAGTATGATTTTTTTAATTACATTAAAATCGATTGAGAATTTAATTTAAATAATTCTTGTAATTATCAAGTCGTTATTACTTAGCCCGTAAGGGTCTACTTGAATGTAACTTAACTCTATATCTGTTAGATTTCGTAAATGTTTATTAAATTTAAAAATATACTATTGATATAATGATTCGCAATTAAATAAATTTGTTCAGAATTATAATTTAAATTATTAGGATAAAATTATGATACAATAGAATAAGTTGATAAAAAATTCCATGTCTTAAATTATATATAAAATGAATTATTAAGGTTAAAGGGCTCCTTTGTTTACAAGTAACTTCTCAATTTACTATTAAAAAATCTTCCCAATTAATATTCATATTTATTGAAAATGCCCCCATGAACTCAAATTGATTCATGTAATCTCACTATTGTCAGATTGATATTTATAGTTTATTTATTTCAGAATCAGTTACAACAAAAGAAGCAAGTATAGGTGAGTATTCAATCTAGTCGAGCGGAAAAAATTTAAATTAAACGAGTTTAAGTATCGTTTTATCATTCCAATTATATTATAAACATCTTCAAAACGAGTTTATAAAATTTGAGTTGAATCGAATATGTTCGTTTGAGTTTCTGTTTATATTAAAATGTAATTATTTATAATGTGTTTTTTACAAATTATTTATAATAGAATAATAGTAATTGATTTTAATTTAAATTGTTATCTCTAACCATGTATGATATACACATTTTCTCATACTTTTCTCATATTATAATGTTGTTTTTTAAAATAATAAATTCTGAGGATAAATTGGCAATAATCTCTAGATCAAGTGATTAAAAACTCTAAGTTGACACATTTTCTCTTCCGTAGATTGTAGGTTCAGTACCTATTAAGAGTAAAATTCCTCTTCTTTGTTCCCTACTAGAAATTGTTCAATTTTTTTCAGGGTAAATTATTGACGAAAGTATTAAAGGAGTCAAAGAATTTGATGAGAATATTTTTTTGCAAATAATTATAGTTGGGGATCAAAATGAATAAAATTTAAAATTAAAGGATTAAATTATAAAAAGGAATTAAAGTTACATATATGATTTAAGATCATGTGATTCAAAATTGATCATGATTAGACTTAAAATAAAAGAGAAATAAAGTTAAAAAATAAAAATAAATTACAAAATAATCAAAATACTTAGTTAAAGACCAAAATAATATAATTTGATTATTTAAAAGGTACAAATTCAAACTCGAAATTATGTATATATGTAGTGTAATAGAATTTTGGGGAAATGCTCACGTGCGGCAGTCTTAATATACAACTAAAAAAATGTGCTACAAGTTTTGTTATTATTTAAATAATAATTACCGATATAGGTAAACACGGTAGAGAAAACCCGTAAAAAATAATGTTTTAGGTAACGCTTTACCGAAAACATTATTTTTTTACCGGGTTTTTCTACCGCGGTTACCTATATCGGTAATTAATAATAATAACAAAACCAGTAGAAATAATAATGTTTTTGATCATTTTTTACCGATTTTATTATTTAAACATTTTTTATCTATATTAAGGTTGTCACACCGTAAACTTTTATAATTTTGTCCATCCTAAAAACAGGCAGAAGCTAAATTGACGTTGAGTAGTCCATGTATTGGAATCGGGATTTCATTGTCTGTGTTTTAAGACTCCCCAATCTATAACCCTACCAAAATTGTATTAAGATTGAAGAAGTGCAGTACACGTTTGTTGATTCTCATTCATTTTAGCCATTGTTTGATATTGTTTCAGTCCAGCTAAACCTGTCAAATTGCCTTAACTGTTTGCTACTCGTCTAAATCCATCAATGAAGCTCCACAAAAACCACGGCCAAGCATGGCAAAAACCCATCAACTTCTTCTTCTTCTTCTTCTGGTTACTGTCTCATCAGAAGAAGAAGAAAAAAGGTGCATTCTCCTTCGAGCAAAGGCTCCACTGTTCGTAAACACTTGAGCCTTCTCTCCTCTGTCAAGCCAGGTTAGCTTAAGCTTAATCACCCATACGTATGTATGTATGTATGATTTTGTTGTTTTCAACAGTGAACGTGATGCTAAGGACTCCATGGTTTATAGCTACACGAAGAGCTTCAATGCCTTTGCTGCAAAGCTATCCAAAGACGAAGCTCAAATGTTAAAGGGTGCATGAAATTTTCATTCAACTGTAGTTTTTCCCGGACTTTTATCAGATTTGCTTAACTTGGTTTTGGAATGTTTAGAACTGGATGAAGTGGTTTCTGTGTTTCCGAATCGATATCACAAGCTGCACGCGACAAAATCATGGGACTTCATTGGATTTCCTCAAACAGCTAAAAGATACTTGAAGCTTGAGAGAGACATAATTGTGGGTCTGCTTGATACAGGTTGATGGAGCACTCTGTTATTTCATTAAGTTGATTCACCATTAATGTCTTCTTGTTTACTAATATGATGTTTTTTCCATTTCCAGGGATCACTCCACAGTCAGACAGCTTCAAGGATGATGGATTTGGTCCTCCACCCCATAAATGGAAAGGAACATGCCACCATTTTCGAAATTTCTCGGGATGCAACAGGTACAATTCATCATTCATGATTGTTTTAAACATATAATAGGACTCGTCAAATGCATAAAGGTTTTTCTCCTTGGCTGCATATTAATTGCAGGACTGAATTAAATAAAATACTTTGGGAATTAATTTCTTGAGTAGCAAGTCATGTCTGTTAAAATGTGAGAATTCAATGCTCCCGGTCATCTTCAATAGTTAATAAACCGTGTTCATTGATTTTTTTTCTATATTTTAATGTCGATCATTCTTGCTCTTGGACCGCCTTCACCGAGTTCAATAGCAAGGTTGTGGAGCTAAGTACTTCAAGCTAGACGGCAATCCCGACCCGGCGGACATTCTATCACCGGTAGATGTGGATGGCCTAGGTACCCACACATCATCCACGTTAGCTGGCAACCTACTTCCAAACGCCAGCCTTTATGGGCTAGCCAATGGCACAGCTCGGGTGCGGTTCCATCGGCTAGGATAGCCACATACAAAGTGTGCTGGGTCAGCTTGGGATGTGCCGATATGCATATCCTCACCGCAATGGATGATGCTATAAGCGACGGTGTTGATGTTATATCGATATCTATTGGCGGGGAGACCAAGGACTTTGTCACGGATTCGATATCGGTCAGTGCATTCCACGCCTTGAAGAAGGGAATTGTCACGGTAGCTTCAGGTGGTAATGATGGTCCAGCTTGGGCTCCGTGTCCAACTATTCCCATGGATTCTTACCGTGGCGCCACCGGAACCGACCGACAGTTTAGGAGTGCAGTCAAGTTGGGAAATGGGAAGAGTTTCTCGGTAAGTTCGATACGCAGAAGATTGTTTTCGTTGAATGCTCGAAATCTAACTGCATTGATACACAGGGAATTGGAATCAACACGTCTGGATCAAAGGAAACATTTTACCCCATTGTCAGTGGGGCTGATGTTGCCATCAATGCAGAAAGCAAGGATTTAGCAAGGTACTACTTTGTTCTGTTCATAATGACCCAACCGCACGGTGATCGATATCAACCATACACCGTGGCGGGTCTCAATTTTAAATGTAATTTGGCAGTTTAAAATGTAATTCCAGGTTCTGTTATGACAACACATTGGATCCTGCAAAGGTAAAAGGAAGGCTTGTTTACTGCTTGCTAGTCGAGTTGGGTTCCGATTCTGTTGTTAAAGGTGTTGTAACCGGTTTTTGCCCGGACACGAAATTTTATTTGGCGGAAAAATTATGTGAATAAATGTTTTTATTGAAATGTTTTGGGAGTCGTCATCGGTCTTTTGGATCAGGTAGGTCGAATACTTAAAAATCATTTTTTAAAAGAGTTTTTAATAAAACATCAGTTAAAAGATAAATGTATGCGTTTAACCAAAAATTCATTATTTTTAATAATAAAAAGAGATTCGTGGTCGGTTACATTTGGGGAAGGATTAGCACCCCCACAACGCCCAAAATTAGTACCTTTTGATTATAAATTGTCTCTATTATTGAAAATTTAAGAGAGAATATATATATATATATATATATATATATACTTAATTCATAATTCTATTATTTCAAATTTATTAGTATAATTTAAAAAAAAATATTTATAATTTTATAAATAAGATATTTATTTACTT